GCTTTTCATGTCCATGTGGTGGCTGTTGCCAGGGCTGATAAAGGACTGACAAACAGGGACTGCAGAGGATGGGCCAGCTCCTGTTCCTGTGAAGATGACAAAGGACACAAAAAAATACGTGTTCCTGAAGTATTAAGACTAACCACTGGAACTCACGGGGTGTTTTGCATTTCATGACCAAACGGAACTGCCAGGCTATCGAGGGCAGGGCTCGCTCTGACTCTACCCACACAAAGCCTACAGCAGAATCTCCACTAAGAGTGTGGGGCTTGTGGCAGGTATCCCAGGGCAGGGCTGTGTACCTCCATACGCGATTTGTGAAGTAGGTGTATTCATCCATCTCATGGGCTGTGGGCAAAGAAGCACGCAGGTGTAAGCAAAGTTTAGAACAGCAGCAGGCACTGGTCAAGCTCAAGCTTTGCCTTTTAGCAGCCTGGAAAGAGGAGGGGGAGGTAATCGTTCCCTAGCATGGATCAGAAGCCAGGCTGAGGCTGTGAAGGGCTTGGCATTGAAAAGGAGTCAGGACTTGCAGGAGAAGTGAATGTGGTGTGTTGCATGGATAGGGCCAGAGAGCTCTGGAGCTGCAGGGGCAATGCAAGGAAAAGGAACTGTGTTGACTTGAGGAATGTATATTTGATGCAAAAGGCCAGGACTGGTGTAGGACTTGGGACAGGCAGCCTTTGTTTTCTGTAATATGCTTCCAACATCAAACCTTCCACTTCAGTTCTCCTTTTCCCTCAGTTTAATCACTGGGATAGAGGAACTCACTCTAACTTAGCATTGCTAATCACTTTCTACCCTGAACATGCAGTCTGGTGAGTTTCTTGACCAAGGGTCCTTGCCTGCATCTCCCTCCCTCTACATACTCTTCAGGGCCGTGCCTGTGATGACAAAAAGGGTGTTGGGCCCTCACCTTACTCGCATGGAGCGCTGTAGCTCATCACTGTAGTTTCTTCTGGAAGATGAGAAAAAAGGTGCTGTTGAGATACGCTTGACAAAAACTCACTAAAGCAACCCAGCATTGTGACTCTGTTTTCAAGGGAAGACGTTCCCTAAGCTTACAGCCCATGATTGCCTTCCACTGTGTCACAGGAAACCACTTTGACACATGGTTTGTGTCAAAGTCTCTGTGTGCAGTTATTCTGGATTCACCCAAGTCATGGTGCTTGTGACCTTTTAAAGTCCCAAACAGCTCCATTACAATAATGGATTCCTCGCTTTCCGAAGCAATAGCAATCCCTAGCTTTCCTCCCCCTAGGGACCCCAGAAAACAGAGGACAAATTATTTTCAGTGTCATTTTTCTAAGAGGGCCCTCACTCTTTTAAGCCATCCCCCCACTATAGTCCCTCTGCCTTCACTGCCTCCCACAGAATGAGCATACATTTTGTGGGAGAGTTAGACCTTAAGTGCATCTGCATGCTAACTTCAACCTTGCAGGTTTTGGGACCAGAGAAAGAAGGATTTACCATTTTTAAACCTAAGAGGTTTCAAGTCCATCACTAGAGAGCTTCTAAGGGGCAGTTAGATAAACATGTCAGGGACGGTATTGTCTGAGACTTGGCAACTTCAGAAAGTCCCTTTCCAGTGGTACATTTGGGTGGTTTCTGAAGTACAGCATCAGAGCTTACCTGGCATGTAGTAATCGTAGACCTTGATATTAGCTGGCTTACGATCCTTCACTTGCATGTCCTGCTGCACCATCAAAGTGTAGGTGTGAGGCTGTCTAGTCAGCTAAGACCAAAAGATGCAAGGATTACAGCCAGAACCAAAGTTCTGCAACACAATTCCTTCTACCTGCTCTGAGACCTTACCACTGTAACATACTTGTCCACCTCAGAAACATCTTTTACTTCATATGTTGTGGCCATCTCCCATTTTTGGTCACCAAATTTAGCTCAGTTCATGAGAGACATCAAACCCAAAGAGTCAATGTGCAGTAGGTATCTAAATGTGTTCCCAACCAGCTCCACATTCCCCGCATTGAGCTCTGCTCTGAACTCCTTCATGCATCTTGCTGAACTGGCTACTTTCTTATACATGGTCCCATTACATCAGCTCTTATTCTCCAGTCTCCCACTTCATCATTAACCAGACAAATGCAAGGTGTGGACGAACAACTGCTGGATGGTAATAGTTACATGACCTGCTGTTGACTCGGTTCCACCTTGTGCTACCTGGCAGCCTGAACTGAAATCTTTCTTTATGCTGCTATTCTGCTCTGCGCTGTAGATGTAATGAAAGCAGCATCTCTGTAAGCCTAATGCATCCACATGACAATAACCTGCTTACTATGAGGCTAGGTTAGCTCAGCTTGTTGACAGCTGGGGATGAAGAATCACAGAAATGTAGAAGTGCACTTGGAAACTCTGAAGTTTTAAAATTCATGCCAGGTCTTGTTTCTGGTGCTGTACCTAGAGACAGGCTCGAGCGGTTGTTAATCTGTGGATTAATGGGGCTCTGGAGCAAGCACTGCTGTTCACACAACCATCTGGTTTAGTTTTGAATGATCTTGGCAAACTCCATGAGCAATCTTGGATGCTCCCTACTACATTCAGGCTGCTTAAGGGCTTTCTAAAAATTCAGGCTTGCTTGAACTTGCTAGATGGATCCTATTACTACTCCCCCAGTCCTGATCAGACACTGTATATGGACTTATCAACTGTGTCTGAACAGTGCCAAAAGCTATAGTCTTAACATCAGAGATAGCCTCATTTCGCTCAAGTGGCCATGTGTACAGGCTCTACAGCTGAACTACTGCAGGCTGACAAAACACACTTCTCCATACCAGCAAATGTGGCTGGCATGTAGGAACAACTCTGGAGTCTTAAGATACTGATGGAACCAAGATACAAGAGCAAGCGAGTAAGCTAAAAGCTATATGCCAGTCCATAGTCCTTTTAATGATGATGATAGCCTAAATTCCACTTACTTCCTCCAGGTAGAGAATGACTTGGTCAGCTTTGCTTTCAACTTTCTTCACTAAAGGCATTTTCTTTAGCTGAAAATGAAGGGGGGGGGGTGGGGTGGGAAATGTTAGAAAGACTCTAACAGAAAGCAGAAACATTCAGGGGTATTTGTGAGAGCATGGTCAAAATGTTCACATGCCAAAGGAGCCCTTGGGGTAGAGGAAGGCAAGGTGCAGCCTGGAAGAGACTTTGGGTATAAATATTTCTTGGGAAGAAGACAACCGTGTTTTCCTGCCCACAGGAGTGACCACAGTCCTGCATGCAATCCTTCATGATGGACATCCATCACTATTCCCATCCCAGCTGGGCACAAACTCGCGGTCTCACCTCTTCCAGCGAACCTGCCACGGGGCTGTATCCTGACAGCAGCTCCACTTGGATCAAGACCATGTTGGTGGACACACGGTTCCCTGTGTAGCTGCAGCAGGAACCCAGGGGATAGCACTAATGTTACTTTCTGAGCCATGATCTCCAGATACTCTGCTCAGCTTTGGTACTCAGGTGGAGGAACCTGCCTTTCCTTCCAGTGTTTCTCTTGTTAAGCATACCTGTGTCTGTACTGTAATAAATCTTTGTGCTTCCTCTGATTTCTCTTTTAATTATGCTGAGCCAAGGACAATAAATTCCTTGGAAAGCTTCTGGAGTTACCTTCTCTAGGCATGTCAGGGAATATCACATCCTCCACCTACTCTCTTGGCAATTCTGTCCCACATCAGGGACAAGGCAGGGGTACAGCAGAGGAGAGTGGTGTGACAGTCAACCAGGAGCAGAGGAGGGAAGGCTCAGGAATAAGTGTCAGCAGCTAGTCCCACAGGGCCTTCACATCACTAGTGTTTTGAGACCTAATCCTGGAAAGGGGTGAGACCCACAGACCTTGAGAGACTGGCATGATAATGAGATAGGACTGTAGCCTGAGCCATCCTTCTGGGGCCTTGTACCTTTCACCCAGCTGAGGAGAGCATGGTTAAATGAACGGGGACATCTTAGCACTTGGACCTCATGAGTGAAGGGGAATCCTGGCCATCAAGAGACTGTTGTGGTGCCAGAAGCCTTTTAGCATAGGGGAGTCAAGGGGCAACTGAGTGTCTCCTACCGAGCACGAATGGTGACAGGGAACTGGGTGATGTTGGGTGCGGCGCACTCTGTCTGCACAGACACAGCAAAGGTGACGTCGCTCCTCACTGGAGGGATGTGGTACCGCAGAATGGCCTGCAAGGACAGAAAGAAGCCAGTTGGCAGGGAGCAACAGGCTGCGTTTTTCTGCTGAAGAGTATCTTTGTCTAGTGATTGGCTGCTGTTTGCTGTCTTGCATTGGTGTAAGAGAAAACTATGTGGTGGAAGTGGAGGTTCTGCTTGTGCACTGCTCCTGGTGGTGTTCCCTCGACTTCTTGGAGGAGAGGTGCAGCTCTGACTGGGTGGAGATGATCCAGATTTCATTTGTGAAATTGCTATTCCTTTCCTGTTGGATCCCAGCTACTGCTGTGAGCCTTGAAGCCCAGATTTCTGCAAGTCACTGCAGCAGTCTGTTTTCAGTGTTGGCTAAGTAACAAGATGGCAGCAAGCCCCTGGCTTTCAAAGCTTTTCCTCAGACAGACCTTCTCTCCTTGGCTGGGCTTACCTGCAGGAAGAGGCACCCATGGCCCTGCACATGCACAGTATAGTCTTGGGGAATGGCTGGCAGCTCCACTGTCTGCAGCAGGAGGCGATTGGTGTTGTCTACTCGGATGTTCTGGTGGAAACCCTCAGAAGAGAGGGAAGCCTGAAGATCAAGGCCATCCTTGCTGAAGGTCTTGGTTGCATACAGGGCTAGGGCTTCCAGAGCAACCACTGTGTCCTGAGGAAAGAGACACACATTAGGCAAAATAGGATCCCTGCTTCCTTTGCATGCTTTTCCCTCTCTTACACTGCAGCTACAGCACAATAAGGATTGAGCTTTCCCCTTGGGCTGTTAATATGGGATTAACTCAAAGGAATACAAATATTCACCTTTTCCCAACTCCCAGGAACTGTAAATCCATGTATCTTTTTTATTCTTTTTTTTTTTTAAATTTTAATTTTTTATTATGGGCTGTGCTAGAACCCATTGCTCTCAAACCATAGCCTGATGATGATGGCTCAAGGGGATTACCTGGGTTGAAGCAAAGCCTCCATAAGGGTTTTGCTGCTTGGTGAGCCAAGACACAATCTGGGATGCCTTTCTGATTTCGTCTGAAGACAAACTTGACTTTGAAAGGTGAGCCATGAGGATACTAGACGTCAGTTCCACATCAACAGATGGAGCCTGATACCAATAGAGAGAGCCTTCTTCCTGTTTGGACTGTTGACTCCAGAATATTTGGTCATCTAAAGGTGGAGTGGAAATACTTATGGAGTGTGTAGCTGTATCTAATGATGTTGGAGTCCTATTCAGCCTGTGTGCCTATGCACTGAGTGAACAAGATATGGCTGCATATCTCCCTATTTGCCCCACACACCCTGCTTTTCCTAGTAAAAACATAGGTCTGCAGTCTGGGAAGAAGCTCTACAACATCCATGAAGCTCCCTGGTTTAAATGACTGGGAGACCAGGACTGTGAGATCATCTATAAAGAAAGTCTGCCTCACAGTGTGGATATAACCTGTGGATATAGCCTGGCAAACAGAGGCTATCCAACCCTTGGGCTCCCCACAGAGCTCTGCCAGGGCCCCACACTCCTGCCCTCTGTTCCTGTGGTCGTTCAGCCCTGGGATCTCCACACAATTATGCCAATGGCCCTCTCAACTGCCCCACAGTTTTGATACCTGATATTATGGCGGCCTTATCCAACCTTCGGAGGATTTTCTGCCTGAGGGCTTTATCACCTGCTACTGCAAAGGCGTTTGCAGCTAGTGCCAGGCTATAGAGGTTGGAACTGTCAGTATCAGCATTGACCAGGTCCTTTATACATTTCAGAGCTTTCCCCACAACTGGGTCCTAGAATACAATTGAAAGCACACCGGTTGCTGGCAGCATCTGAGGAGGGGATGCAGCATCGGCATGGGCAGAGGAGCATGGACACAAGGAAACAAGGGCAGGACACATGGGGAGAAAACTGCTAGTGCACCCGTGTGTGCACAGAGGCAGAGCACTGGTGCACTGCCTGCCGAGATGCTGCACACACAGCCCATCCCTGCTGCTGACACTCACAGAGCGTGGCATCCCTGAGTGTATGAGAGCTGTGATGACTGCAGAGCTCAGCCCCAGTCCTTCCTCCACTGCACCCTGCAGGACGACAAAACAGAAAAGAGGAGGGCTGCTGTGAGAAGGGAGTAGTTTTCCAGTGCCTTCTGCCCCCCAAGCGAAAGACAGTGCAGGCAACAGTGTTGGTCCTATTCCTTCTGGTAAGGAAGTGCCAGGGCTGGTGCTTACTCTTGTAGGTCCTGCTTACCAGAGCCCTTCTCAGTCACAATGACCCAAGCTCCTCTGGGCAGATGATTCCCACCCTCTGTTGAATACAACCCCCTTTCCCCTCCCCTGCAAAAGATTTTCAGTAGCAGATTTCAGTGCCAAGGGAAAGTGATGTTCCCACAGCGCCGTGCAAGGTGGCACCTCCCTTGAGGGCCAGGACAGTGGCAGGGATGTAAAGGAGCAAAAGAAAAGGTATCTTTCAGAAGGCAAAGCGAAAGGTCCCATTCTCTTCTGTCGGAGGATTAATTGTCTGAGGTTCTGCCCACCGAACTGCTGGTGGCTCCACGACTTTAGTTGTTCTCTGAGCGTGTCTGTGCATGCACTGTGCTGTGTTTCTGAGTGCATAGGGCACATCCCTGGCAAGACGAATCTCACATGAGTGGCTACCATCAGTCTTTCATTCACTCAACTTCTGACTCTCTCTGTACAAGGGGGACCTCAGACTGAAGGAAGAAATGGCAGCTCAATAATGGGAAAAGAAGCTAAACCAGTTTACCAAGGGAATAATACAGAGCTTAAAAACTCTTTCTGAGGCACGTATTAGCTTTTGAGATGGGCCTAGGACAGGGCACTGCCTCAAGTTCCACACACGTATGATCAAATTCAAACATTCATCATTCAAAACTTGAAAAGGTGCCACCATGACTAAGCACAACTCTGAGTGTCACCCAAGGGTGACCTTGGGAACATCAGAGCCTCCCTGCTGCAGTAGCATTCATTTGTTCTTGGTACCCAAGTTGGGCCTGAAAGAGAAGGAACTCTGAGGTACCTAAAACCAGCCAGAATGTATCATACCATCAGACCATTGTTGAAGAGCTTCCCCACACTCTTGAAGCAGCCAGATGGAGTCTGACTTTTAATCAGGGAATTGGCAGCATCTTTTATATTTTGCTCATCTATGTGGATGAAGTCCCGGGCTTGGCTGAAGGTCTTGAGGACAAGGGCAGTAAGCCTAGAGCCAAGGGAGGGAGAAGAAAATCAGATTGAACCAGTCACTGATGCCCATCTCCACTAGGAGACAGGAGTCTCTGTGTCTTCCACTATGTCATTCCTGGAGAAATACCAGCAGGCTAGAGCCTCTGTGCAGATGGAGAACTGGAAGCAATGCACATGAGTTAGATGCTCTTGAAGCTTGGGCTTAGATCCATTTGCAGCAAGAGAGAAAAAAATCACTGGCAGTTCAGTGCTTCCCTCAGAACTCTGCCAACTCTAACAGGGTTTAACTCGTGTGATTTAAAGCCTGGAAGGCTGATACTCAGTGAGCTCAGTCAGCCCCTTTCCCAATCCTGCTTGGGCAGAAAGCACTCTGGAAAACCTGGAAAGAACATGTCTTTGCAGCCAATTTTCAGAATCAGCCTCAGTTGGGGTGCCCAAGCACAAACAGTCACATGGGGATACCTCAAGTGAGTGCATTGGCATGGTTATCTTCCAAAAAGTCTCAGGAGCAGTTTTTGTTCCAAACTCCATACATTCACACTCCCTCAATTTCCCCAGACCAAAATCCAAACCAGCTGGAGCCTGACCAGGTCAAGCTGTTGTTCCTTAGCTGTGTCTGGATATTTCTGCTTACCATGTGTTCCCTGGCTCACTTCCTTCCCCAAAGGCACTGTATGAGCCATCTGCGTGCTTGTACAGGAGTTGCCGCTGATATCCTGTGGGAAGAGGCTGGGGGTAGTGAAGATGCTCTGTGTCTATCATGTTCTCAAGGTGAAAACCTGCCCTGCGAATCCTGCTGATCATTATAAAGAACATTGTCTCTGAGAAATTCAGTAAAGGGCTTTCAGAGAAGTGATCCAGAGCAGCCCTGCAGAGAAGGACTTGGGGGTGTTGGTTGATGAGATACTGAACATGACCCAGCTTCAGTGTGTGCTTGCAGCCCAGAAACCAGCTGTGTGCTGGGCTGCATCAAAAGAAGCATGACCAGCAGGTCGAAGGAGGTGATCCTGCCCCTCTACTCTGCTCTTGTGAGACCTCATTTGGAGCACTGTGTGCAGTTCTGGTGTCCTCAACATAAGAAGGACATGGAGCTGCTGGAGCAAGTCCAGAGGAGGCCACGAAGATATCAGGGGCTGGAGCACCTCCCGTATGGAGACAGGCTGAGAAAGTTGAAGCTGTTCAGCCTGGAGAAGAGAAACTGTGTGGAGACCTCAGAGCAGCCTTCCCATACCTGAAGGGGGCCTATAAGGATGCTGGGGAGGGACTCTTCATTAGGGACTGTAGTGGCAGGGGAAGGGGG